TGGGAGGAACGGTTGGAGAAAGGGCTGGAGGGAGGCAGCATGTCTGGCCTTGCAGTAATAGGCCTTGGGTTACTGCTGGTAATCCTGTCTTCCTCTTGTGGGATTAGAGGAGGTCAGAATGTGTGGTGGTCTTGCCCTTTTTGCAATACTAAATACTTTTTTGTGTTATATTTCAGTGCTTCCATCATTCTTTCAACTACTCAGGTCATCTCATACCTCTTTATCTATCTAATTAGGCCACAGGCTTGCCATTTCTTCACAATTTTTTTTTTTTTTTTTTAATTCCCATTGCTATAATCTTGAATAAGGAGCTCTGGAGGTGCAGTGGTTTAAGCATTTGGCTGCTAACCAAAAGATTGTTGGTTCAAACCCACCAGTTGCTCTGTGGGAGAAAGATGAGGCAGTCTGCTTTACTAAAGATTTACCACCTTGGAAACCCTTTGGAGCAGTTCTACTCTGTTCTATAGGATCGCTATGAGTTGAAATCAAGTCACTGTATAATCTTGAACATGGGACTTGGCTACTTTATATCTAGACAAATAGCTTCCAAAGATCACTGGATTAGACTGGTTTATCCTACAAACCACTACCACATTCATCTCAAGATACTTAATGTCTCCTATTTTTAAATCTTTAATTGCTTCCCTTTGCCTTGAAAACATTTAACACTTAGAAAGCTTTCCATTCCCTGGCTTTAATCTACCCTTCCCAGTCACATCTCTTACTCTGTGCCACATGATCTCTTTATTTTGACAAAATCAGCCTATTAAACATGCCCTAAATATGCTTTGTTCATTCACACCTCTACTGTCTTACTCATTCCATTACGTTTGCCTGTGTATCTACCACCTACCCCCTTTTTTTCTCTACCTATCCACGATGGAAGGAGCTGTGGTGGTGTAGTAGTTAAGGCATTTGGCTGCTAACCAAAAAGTTGGTGGTTCAAACCCACCAACCGCTCTGCGAAAGAAAGATGAGGCAGTCTGCTTTGGTAAGGATTTGTAGCCTTGGAAACCTTATGGGGGTTGCTATGAATCAGAAACAACTCAATGGAAATGAGTTTGGAGCTTCCATGATGGCATATCTGGATCTCTCTATGTAATCTTCCTTCACCACAGCAACTTTCTTTCCTAAACTTCAGTAGGTTTAAATCTGTATCACTCTTTTGGCTGATACCATGTTTTACCCCAAAGGGAAATGTAAACTTTGCTTTCTCCCTAAGGGAAATGTAAACTCTCCAAGATAAAAAATAGTGTTTCTTCTACCATGTAACTAGGTTTTGCTCAATAAACATCTGCTGTTTGAGTGCTTCATCATTGTTTTCCCCCTTATAAAAATACATCAGAGACATAGACAGTCCAGTGATTACAATTTTTCTGTTCTCCCAGAAACGTATAATATCTGAAGTTTTCTCTGTCACATATACCCAAAATGTTTTCTTTTAACCATTTTATCTGTACTTCAGAAGCATCTTTGGTGCACAATGTTGGGTCCAACCTCTTTATATTCTGCAGCAGTGATCCACATGTCCTGGAAGGCAGACAGGGATGCAAGAATGGAACCTCCCATCCACACTGATATTTTCCTTTCCGGGGGAGCTGTAACCTGTACAGGTGTGTTGGCAGGCACCAACTTTGCTATGTCCTTAACTAGCCGCTTCTCTAAACCCAGGAAACAGGTTGATCCCCCAGCAAGGATAATATTGGAGAAGAAGGAATTCCTCAGATCTGTATCACATCTCATTATGCTGTTGAAGCACATCTTATCAATGCCAGGGGCCTCCAGCTTCATGAGATGTGGCGTGAAAAGGGCCTCTGGACAACTAAAGAGCTGGTCATGGAGCTTGATGATCTTCCCATCAGGCAGCTGGTAAACTTTTTCCAGATAATCAGGTTTCTTAGCCATTTCCTCTTCATAGTTGGTTGCTACATAACAAGTGGTTTCCTTAATGTCTACAACAATCTTTCTGTCTGCAGTACTAAGCAGCATGATACCCTGGTTCTTCAACAGCTTCATGAGGTAGTTGGTAAGGTCAAGGCCTGCCAGATCTAGCTGCTGGACACCATGAGGCAGACAGTAACCCTCAAAGATGGGGATACACTGGGTAACCCCGGCACCCGAATTCAGCACAAAGCCAGTTGTGAAACCTGCAGCAAACAGTGCCAGGACACCTTGGATGCACATATAGAAGGCAGGAACCTCCAGATGCTCAAAAAACACTTCACTGGTTTGTTGCCGTTTGTTCAGTGGGTTCAGTGCTGCCTCTGTAATCAAGATTGGACCATCACAGGGTTTTAGCTTCAGGTTATGGTCATAGATATGCTTCCACATGATCTCCATGTCTCCCCAGGAAGTAATGAGGCCCCGTTCCACTGGATAGCTATATGGAAGGCAAAATAAATGGCAGCTTTTTATTTTTCTAGTTTCAATTCTTTTCAAACCTAGGTTTATTCCCATATTTTTTTTATCACTATCCCTATAAGGGCAGTAACTGCTTCAGCCTCTTAGGGGAAGACAGCTACCAGCAAAAATTAGCACAGCACCTTTGCAATTTTGAATGCTTTCCAATCTCTCTCCCCTTTAGAAGACCCTTCATAACTTAAAATTGTTTTTTTTAAGTTGGGAAAGCCCTATATAATACTAGATTTTTTTTTTTTTTTGGTTTTTTACAGCTGTTTATCATGAAAATTTCAAGCATACATAAAATTAGAGAGAATAGTATAATAAACCCTTAGGTACCTATAACCCAGCATCAGTAATTGTCAACGTTGTGCCCATCTTGTTGATTTATTCCTTTTCCTTATTTTTTAAACCCAAGGAGGGGTCACTGTGAGTCAAAATCATTTGATGGCAGTGAGGGTTTTTGTTTTTTGGATATTTTAAAGCGAATCCTGGACCTCATTTCAGTTCACATCTAAATACTTTACAGGCATACCTCAGACATACTGCAGTCTCAGTTCCAGACCACTGCACTAAAGTGAATATCGCAATAACGTGAGTCACACAAATGTTTTGGTTTCCTGGTGCATATGAAAGTTATATTTACACTGTAAAGTCAGAATCCACTTGATAGTAGTGGGTTTTATATGATTGGTAGTCTATTAAGTGCACATTCAAAACCAAAAACCAAACTCACTGCCATCAAGTTGGTTCTGGCTCATAGAGACTCCTTGGGTTTCTGAGGCAGTATCTCTAGGGAAGTAGGTTGCCTAGTCTTCCTTTTGAGGAGCGGCTGGTGAGTTTGAACTGCTAGCTTTCTGGTTAGTAGTCAAATGCCTTAGCCACTATGCCACCAGAGCTCCTAAGTGTACAATAGTATTATGAAAAAGCTTGAAATACTGTGAGAATTACCAACATGTGACACAGAAACACAACGTGAGCATCTACTGTTGGAAAATGGTAGTGATAGGGTTGCCACAGGGTTGCCACAAACCTTCAGTTTTCAAAAAACAGTATCTGTGAAACGCAATAAAGTGAAGCACGATAAAACGAGGTATGCCTGCATTTTGCATCCCCCACCAGATAAGACTCTAAATATTTATTACCAAATATTTTTAAATGTCACTATCACACTTAACAATACTAATAATTTAAAAAATTTTATTGTGATACAAATAACAAAAAAACTGCCACTTTAACTATTTTTAAGTGTAAAATTCAGTGACATTAATTATATTCTCATGTTGTTCAACCATCACACTATTTCCAAAAGTTTTCATCACCACAAACAGAAACTCAGTACTCCTTAAAGTGGTAACACCCTTCTCCTACCTCAGCCCCTGGTAACCACTAGTAAATTTTTGTCTATGCATTTAGTCTATTCTACGTATTTCATATAAATGAAAGCAGGCATATCTATCCTTTTGTGTTGGTCTTGTTTTATTTAGCATAATGTTTTCAGGGTTCCCCTATATCTGTAGCATGAGAACCTCATTTCTCTTTATGGCTGAAAAAATATTCCATTGTATGTATTTACCACACTTTATCTATTCTTGTTATGGAACTCTGGTGGCATAGTGGTTAAAGCACTTGATTAACCAAAAGTTTGGCTTTTGGTTAATCAAAAGAGAGCTCCAGCTGCTCTGCAGTAGAAAGGTAAGGCTGTCTGCTTCCTTAAAGATTTGCAGCCTTGAAAACCCTATGGGCAGTTCTGTTCTGTCCCAAAGGGTCACTATGAGTCGAAATCATAGCAGCCGATGGGTTCATTCTTCTGTTGATGGACACTTGGGTATTCCAACCTTTTGGCTCTTGTGAACAATGCTACTATGAACATTGGTGTACAAATATTTGAGTGTCTGCTTTTGATCTTTTGAGTTCTACCTAGGAATGGAATTGCTGGGTCATGTAGTAATTCTATGTTTAACTTTATGAAGTAGATACAGTTTTAATATCAATAATTGAAGCAAATAACCATAAGGACAAAAGGAACCATGAATTCCGTAACATTCTTAAATGAATACAAATCAAATTCATTGACTTAGAGTGGATTTCGACTCAGAGCGACCCTATACTATAAGGCGTTTGCAATAACGCCCACTGGCTGAAAGATTTCCTGTTACTCACTGTCCTTTCTCCCTGGCGCCGCTCACCCGGACTCTCCCTCCCTCTCCTCCGCGCTGGCCCAGCGCCCCGCCTACCCTGCTTTTCAGCCCGCCCGCGCGCACTAGCGTGAGCAGGCATTACCTCATAAATAACGAGCTTCGTCTGTCCTGCGCGTCGTCACCGACGAACAGTTCCTCCGAACCCTTGGTGCGGCCGATAATGTTTGGGTAGACAAACTGGGGCTCCCTTCTCCCAGCCAGGCCCGCCTTGATTATTCCCGAGCCGTTGTCGATCACCACCGGTAGCTGGTAGTAGCTCATGTCGCTTCTGCCGCGGAGGCTGGTCCTCGAGCTCTCTGGCCTCCCTAGCTGCGGGCTGCTCCGGGAGAACCCGAAAGTGCGCGGGCGCCGCGCCGCGGCTCGTCTTATAAGGCCCAGGTGATGCGCGGGGCCAGTCTAGGAATGCTCGCGTCACAGAGGCCTCGGCGCGGCAGTGGGGGCCTAGACTCGGTTGGTGCGGACTGGGGGTCTGGAAAACCCGGGCCTACCAACTCTGGACGCGCCATGAGCCTTGCAAGAGAACCGCCGGCGATTGCGTCTCGCTTCCAAGGGCACCCTTGGAAAGCCGCGAATACCAGTATCAGGAAAACCTGACTTCCCTTCCAAAAGATACGAATCTAACCCTTCACAAGTGCATTTCTCCAAGACCTCGCAAAGCCATAAACAGCTTTATTTTCCAAAGCCGTTGAATTCTGGTAACAAGTGTCCGGCCCAGGGCCTGCAGGAAGTTAACGAATGCGTCCTGAAACTGGGCAAGTGTAGGAAGATGTAAAGTGGGAAAGTTGTAACGGTAGGAGACGCGTTCACTGTCCTTGCTTCTGAGACGTTCGTCAATTTCTAAAAAGAGGAGAGAATAAAATGCTAGGATTTAAAATAGGGTTTTAATGACTTATTTTTTCTTTATACTGAGCAGTGTTTTTCTGTTTTTCATTCCTGTGGTTTCTAAAGAACACCCGCGGTACTCAAAACTCAAATGATGGAACTTCACATTCTATTAGCAATCTCGTTATTTTGTCCTCCAGTGTAATCTGGAAGCCCATTCTCGTTCCATCTTACTGATTTTCAGACACAAGGATGTGTCACGTCTCTGCAGTAAAAGTGAAATTCCTTGTGTTATATAAAGTTCAAGTTTAAAAAAAATTTAAATACATTGTGTACCAAAAGTGCGTCTTGGTGTCTAAATACCTCCCACTCCCAAGCCCTCAGTCTTGCACAATCGATAGAGAATGCTTAAATAACTATTCAAATTAAAACCTCCCATTGGTCTGCAGAAGTAGAGAATTTAAAAGCAATTTATACGTCGCTCCACCAGAGGCTGAAAAGGATCGTTTTATCTCTAGTAAAATAACGGCGTGGTGCTGTTAGCCGCTGTGAGAGCGGGGGACTTGCGGATCTGTCCCCGGTCCATCCTTCCAGGCCAGCCGAAGCCCCCAACGGGCCCCCACTCTCAGTAGCGCGATGTGGAAAAAGAGTATGCAATATAACGCTTCTTTCCTGGAGAAAAGGCAACTAGCCGGTGCCTGGTTTCTACAGGGTACCCCATGGTTTTGAAAGAAATCACAAGCAAATTCAAACTTTTGAAAATAGTTTCAGCACTGTTCACTTGGGTACATGGTTATTTTTCGTCTCTGTTTTATTTCCTTCTATTCAAAATAATCTTCAAATCAATTTTAAGTAGGGGACCTGTATGTTACCATACCAATATCAGGGCTTTCAGAAGCCCTCATGCTCAAGGAGTTTCCGTAGTGTAGTGGTTATCACGTTCGCCTAACACGCGAAAGGTCCCCGGTTCGAAACCGGGCGGAAACAACTTTTTCCGTTTTCCCACGGTGACTTCTAGCGCTCAGTAGGGGCTCATAAGTTTGTCTGAATTAGTAGTCGAAAAGGGTTCACCCCACCAAAAAAACAGGATAACAGAAAAACTACTCAGAGAAGAGGAAATCAAGAAAGAGCAGCCTTCAACTAACAATTTTCGTTTTATTCACAAATATGATTCTTAAAGAAAAAAGACGAATAAATTCAAGAGAGACTGTCCTTCAAAATAATGTGTCGGGTAAATTACTTACAATACAGACGCATGACTTTTAGCAAGAAAAAAATGTTGAAGATGTCTGTGGGTACTAGGGATGAATCTACCCTAACATTTCAATACGACTTTCCTGAGTTCCTGCTCCTTCTGCATATTATGGAAGTGAAATCTTTTTCCTTCACTTTAAAAAATCTGAAATTGTTGTGAATAATTGTATCAAAACTTTTCTTGTCCAGGTGCAGGAAAACCTTTTCCGGTGTAAAGCCCACCTTCCTTTAATGTTGCGCATGCCCAGTATGCCCAACTGTTTTGCTCCGCTTTCGAGCACCTCAGACTCCTACTAGTGCCAGGTAAGGGCTTCCTGGTAACTCAGCTACCTTTGGCTCAAGCAAACAAAATCTAGGAGATCCAAAGAGCTTTAGGGTATGTAAGTGGGAAAGGGGTGATTAGTTTCATTTCAATAATCCACTTTAGCAGAGAGCCCGAGTACAAAAGCAGCTCGAGGGGCCCCGAGGAAGGACAGGGTGATGGGAGAAGACGAGCAACTACAAGCTCTAGCGTGCAGCGCGCCGTTTGACTCCTGGAAAGTGGCCCCGGGTATACTGGTACCGGCCTCGGCCCAGTATCGGGGCCGGGCGTGAGATACTGAATGTCGGCCGACCGGAATGTTCAGAATGAGGAGGACGGGTGGGGCGCTGTGAACGAGCCCTTAGGTTTCGTACCCATAACGCCCCTGTTTCGTGGGGCCCCCTACATGCTGGGGAGTTGGGTCTTTGGACCTGCTGGTCACTCCTTGCCTGGAGTCGGGCCTCCAGGGTGCCGGAGCCTCCTGCGTTGCCATGCAACGCTCGGAGCCGGACGTGACGCCGCCGTGGAGGAAGAAGGGAGAGGCGGAGCGTGGTGCGGTGACGTCCTCCCAAGATGGCGGAGAGAGAGTGAAGAAACTGTGTTGCCCCTTGGGTTGCTATCGGTGAGTTCGATCTTCACCTCCAGGTAGCCGTCCCCGGTCTCACCTGACCCTGGGCTATAGGAGGGCAAGCTTTCTTGGATTTCGAGCGCGGGTGGGGGCGAAGATGTTAACGTGGAAAGCTTGGGTGAGGCAGCCCTGGGGGTGGCTTTGGCTACAACCTCAGCTGTGGGAATTTGCGGGAGTAGAGAGCTAGGCACAGGGCAGGGTAGCTGAAACCAGGAAGGGAACCGGCTTTGGTTGTCACTCTCTGATCCCGCCTTGAGTGACGAGGGAGCAAGGGAAGGGGGTGTGGCCTCCTCTGGAAGAGTGACAGAAGCTTTGACAACCCTTCACCCCGCGTATTCTCCGCCTTCTGGTCACCTACCTAGTGTTGTAGCACAGCTGTGTGCACCGCGGAAGCGAACAGGTTTCGGTGATTTGAGAGCACTTTTAAAAGACTCGTTGGGTGTCCTTTCCCTGTCTGTCTCAACGCGACCTTCTTAGTGGTTATTTTTTTTTCTCAATATGCTTATACTTGCTGAACTTGAAAGTGAGGGCTCAACTGATGGAAGCGTGAAATTTTGCTCTGCTTTTTTCAGCTCATCGAAGTATTTTCAATGATTTATTGATGTGTTCAAAGGATTGTTAGTTGTCCAGAGTGAAATAGAAAGGTAGAAAGTCAGCCTGACACTCTCCAGCCTTTTAAACTAACTGTTTGATAACGTATTTTCCGTGTGGATGAAGTGAAACCTCAGTTTTTTCTTTTTCGTGTTATGTCCTCTTTTTCACCCCCACCAATTGCTTGGGCAAACGTTTGATGAAAACTTACGGTTACTGACGTACCTTTTTTTTTTTTTTTGTCTTTTAGAACAAGGGTAGAATTCTGTTCTGATAACAAAATGCAGTATTTCCACCACTGTGAGCACCTTTTAGAGAGACTGAACAAACAACGGGAAGCAGGCTTTCTTTGTGACTGCACTGTAGTGATTGGGGAATTCCAGTTTAAAGCTCATAGGAATGTGCTTGCCTCCTTTAGTGAGTATTTTGGTGCAATCTACAGAAACACTTCTGAGAACAATGTCTTTCTCGATCAGAGTCAGGTGAAGGCTGATGGATTTCAGAAGCTGTTGGAGTTTATATACACAGGAACTTTAAATCTTGACAGGTAAAGTACACATTTTGGTTTTGGTTTTAAAAACTAGTCAGTAATCTTTAAAGTAGGTTGTATTTTTTCTATTCTATTTCTGCACTTAGTCTTCAAATATTGATATGTACAATATTTTTAAAGAAGTCAGTGTCACAGATTTGGAATGAACAGAAAGCATTGCATCTTTTAAGTATGAAAAATAGAAGTGTTAATGAGATTGAAACTTTGTTTCTAACACATATAATTTACCTACTCAAGAAAAGTTTATGATTTCATTTATATAAACTTGAAGGTCAAACACAGTGAGTTCCCAGTTGTTTCTCACTACTTTTTGATCTTTATAATCCTCTGGTTTATTGCTCTAGATTCCTTACCTCTTAAGGTGATTGGGATGAGGGAGTGTAAATGAGGAATAAAGGAAGAACCTTTGCTTAATTAATCATACTCCCATATCCAACAATAAATCGTAATGTGCAGTCTCTTTGTAATCTTGATTCTGGAAAAGAACTTCATTGGAGTATAAATACAGTTATTCTGTCTATTACCTCTGTGAAATTACTAGTACTTAAGTTTTAAATGCTTAAATTTTATAAGTTATTTTCATGTTCTGAGTATTTTTAAAGCAACCACAACCAGATAATTTAACATTCTATTTTTCTCTAGTGGTCTATAGGTAGCTGCGAGTAGCCATCCGTTTTCATCTTTTAAAGTTCTATGAAAGTGGAGTTTTTCTGTATGAACATTATTATGAATGAATTACTTTTGTACATTTATTCTCTTATTTGTGCATTTTTCAGCATTCTGTTTCATTATAGATCTTTAAAAGACATTGGAGTATATATGCAAATCTGTTTAAAAAGTTTTTCTTTGATCAGAATATTGTCATTCAGCCTTGTTTTCCTTACAGTTGGAATGTTAAAGAAATTCATCAGGCTGCTGACTATCTCAAAGTGGAAGAGGTGGTCACTAAATGTAAAATAAAGATGGAAGATTTCGCTTTTATTGCTAATCCTTCTTCTACAGAAATATCTAGTATTACTGGAAACATTGAGTTGAACCAACAGACTTGTCTCCTTACTCTGCGAGATTATAACAATCGGGAGAAAGCAGAAGGATCTACAGATTTACTTCAGACAAACTCTAAACAAGGAGCTTTGGGAAGGAAGTCATCTCAAACTAAAAAGAAAAAGAAGGCTTTCAATTCCCAGAAAATAGAACAGAATAAAACAGTGCAATATTCCAGTGACATTTTAGAGAATGCATCTGTTGAATTATTCCTAGATGCAAATAAGTTGTCTACACCCATAACAGAACAAGTTGCACAAAGAAATGATAACTCAGAACTGGAGTTGACATCAGTTGTGGAAAATACTTTTCCAGCACAAGATATTGTACAGACTGTCACTGTGAAACGGAAACGTGGAAAATCTCAACCAAACTGTGCTCTGAAAGAACATTCTATGTCTAACATAGCCAGTGTCAAGAATCCTTATGAGCTGGAAAGCTCTGGGGAAGAGCTGGATCAAAGGTATTCCAAGGCAAAGCCAATGTGTAACACATGTGGGAAAGTGTTTTCAGAAGCCAGCAGCTTGAGAAGGCACATGAGAATACATAAAGGAGTTAAACCTTATGTCTGCCACTTATGTGGAAAGGCATTTACCCAGTGTAACCAGCTGAAAACACATGTAAGAACACACACAGGTGAGACTGGTTTGTGGGAATATGTAATTATTTATAATACTGTGATTGAAATAGTTCTTTTTTTTTTTTTTTTTTTTTAGAAAGCATATTACTATAGCACATGTTGACTACCTGTGCCCTAAATTTGGTGTTTTTTTTGTATTCATGAAAATCTTTAGTAGGTTAGACTGTTGCAAATTTTTCTGTTGTTCTTATCAAGTATTTGAATGGCTTTTTTGGTATTTAATATATTGTAACTGATGAAGTCTTAATGCATAAGTTCTTTATACCTTTTTTTCACAGTTAAGCATAAACTTGGTTCTGGTTTGCTAAGTTCTTAATAGAGACAAAAATATTAAAACTGATAAAGATAAAAAGTAATTACAGTTCAGGCCAATTCTGAGATTGTGTCAACACTTCTCATCATTTGCTTCTTTGACTTTGCCAATGTCAGATCTTGTTTATTAGAATTATGCATACATTCCTTCCTTGGCTTCTACATTTACCTTTATTTTGCAAGTCCTCTTTTCCATAAGTGAAGTGTGAGCACTCACTGGTACCCCTACATTTCTTACTTTTTAAGATGCAATATTTTTCTCATGAGCACCTGTCATTATGAATTAAAAAATACTAATTTCTTTTAATTCTATAGGTGTTTTCAATAGTGAATCCAGAAAAAGAGATTTTATTTGCTTTTACTTCTACCACTTAACATTTTCTGGTTACCTAAACTGTACTGCTGATGAACTCTTAGAAGCTTATACGGCTTAAGTAATCAAAACAGCATTTCTTTCTAAGTATAAATTTTGTTTACTTTCTCTTATAGGTGAGAAGCCATACAAATGTGAACTATGTGACAAAGGATTTGCTCAGAAATGCCAGCTAGTCTTCCATAGTCGCATGCATCATGGTGAGGAAAAACCCTATAAATGTGATGTATGCAATTTACAATTTGCAACTTCTAGCAATCTCAAGATTCATGCAAGGTAAAAAAAGCTGTTTGATCTTTTGGTTTGTCATTCACCCTAATCTTATGACCAGACTACCTGCTGTTGTCAAGTTGATTCTGACTTATAGTGACCCTATAGGACAGAGTAGAACTGCCCCATAGTGTTTCCAAGGGTGAAAATATTTATGGAAACAGATAGCCACATCTTTCTCCTGTGGAGGAGCTGGTGGATTTGAACCACCAACCTCCTGATTAGGCAAAGTGATTAACCACTGTGCCACCAGGGTTCTTTGATGAATAGACTGCTGGATTACAATTCAGGACAGTAGAGTTCTAATTGTGAGTCTACCATAGCATACTCCAAGAATTACAAAGAAACCATGGTGAGAAAAGGGAAGTTGGTGAGGTGGGGAAGAATACTAGGAAGTAAGATCAGAGTGATGATAGGGTATCTAGATGGTATAAGGCTTTGTAGGTCATTGTAAAGCTTTTACTCTTGAGATTGAGGGATGAGTGATACGATCTTTCTTCCATTTTGAGAGGATCACTGGGGCTACTTTGTTAGGAAAAGACTAGAATTACAAGAGTGGGAGCAGGGTGACCAGTTAGGAGTCTATATGAAAAATCCAAAAAGCCAAACCCACTGCCATCGAGTTGATTCCAACTCGATTGTTTAATGATGATGATGATACCATAAACAACCCGCATTGGGTTTCCAAGGCTGTAAATCTTTATGGAAGTAGATTGCCTCATCTTCCTCCCAGAACAGCTGGTGGGTTTGAACCATTGATCTTTTGGCTAGCAGCTAAATGCCTCATCCACTATGCCACCAGAGTTCCAGGAAGCTATATGCTTATAGTTTATATAACCCAAGTGAGAGTGATTTTGAGTCAGGCCAGGGTCATAGCAATGGAGGAAGTGAGAAGTTGGATTCTAAATATATTTTAAAGGTAGAGCTCACAGAAATTTAATTAGGCAGATTACATGCAGAGTATTAAAGAAAGAAGAGTCAAAAGTGTATTGAGATTTTGGGCCTGAACACCTGAAAGGATTGAGTTGCCATTAACTGAGATGGAGTAGGTTTGCAGGTATAACAGTTTAATAGGGAAAGGTCAGGAGTTCAGTTCTGAACATGTTAAATTTGAGACGACTAGTAGACATCCAAATGGAGATGTATAATAATTGGATATCTAAGTTTAGAATTCAGGGGACTGGCTTGAGCTAAAGATAGAAATTTGGAAGTCATCAGCATTTAGATGGTATTTAAAGCCATAACACTGAATAAGGTGATAGAGAGTGAACTTAGCCTGAAAAGAGAGAAAAGAACTGAGTTCTGAGGCACCGTAACTTTAATAAGACTTCCAGGAGAAAGAGAAGCAGCAGAGGTTCTAGGAAGAAGCAACCATTATAGGAAGAAAACCAGGAAAATGAGCTGTCCTGGAATTCAAGTGAAAGAAATTTTTCCAGAAGGAAGTGATCTACCATGTAGAATTCTGCTAATAGGGAAATGAGAGCTGAGAACTATTTAGCCAAGTGTTTTTGCCAAAAGCTGCATTAGTAGAGGTTAGTAGAGAAGACATGGAAGTAGAGCTGTTGGAGACTCAAGGAGGAGCAAATGGGGTTGGGGTTTGTGTTTTGTATTTTAAAGTTGGGGAAAATATCAGTATATTTGTGTATTATGATCCAGTGTGGTGGGAAAAAATGGAAATTTTAGGATAGGGGAAATGCAAGAATGGTATCATTGAGTAGATGAGAGGATGGGCTCTCTGGTGTACAAGTGGAAGTGGATAGCTGGTTTCAGATGAACTGCCACTCTCGTTGTTAGTAAGAGAGAAAGCAAACTATATGTGCAGATTCTCATATGCGGATAGTTGTGGTGGTAAAAATTTTCTTCTGATTGCTTAAATTTTTTTCAGTTAAATAGGAAGCAAGGATATTGCTGACAGTTGGAGGTTTGAGGAAGGATTTTTAAAGAGAATGAATGGATTAGTGAGAATAATTGCTGGGCAGTATTAGAGGCCCACTTGGCAATCACGTAAAGATGATAGCAAACCTTTTTGAACTGCTCTTAAAACTAATGTTTTGATGATAACCTGAACATTAATTTTTGGCAGTGTTGACGGTGAAGTAACAGCCAATTTTAAATACATGAGTCTGATGAAATGAAATAAAATACTGTGTAAGAATCATACTAAAAGATTGTCTACAAAAATGGATCCCCTAAGATGTTTTACCCACTAACATGTAACTTTGCTTGTTTACTAATAGAAAGCATAGTGGAGAGAAGCCATATGTCTGTGATAGGTGTGGACAGAGATTTGCCCAAGCCAGCACATTGACCTATCATGTTCGTAGGCATACTGGAGAAAAGCCTTATGTGTGTGATACCTGTGGAAAGGCATTTGCTGTCTCTAGTTCTCTTATCACTCATTCTCGAAAACATACAGGTAAGAGTTTGACACAGAGAGACTGGTTAAAAGAAGGAAATGTGTTGTAGGTAAAAGATAAAGGGAAATAAATTAGGTCTTTACAGAAAGTAGGTTGTTGACTTTGTAGTTAGATAATCTGTTATTTGTACCTCTAGAACTTTTTATATAATTTCTGTTTAAATATTAGATATAAAAACTAATTTCTAGAATAGTACAAAGTAGGTGAATTTTTTTAATCACGCAACTTACACACACTAAAATCAGTGAGGTAATTTTGGCAACATATAAACTTGAGTTGAAGCATATTTATTATGACCTTAAAAAGGTTTCTTAGTCTGTTGGAGCGTCATTTCTTTTGGATAAAATTATGGAGTAGTTAGGGGATGAAGGTGGGGTTGGGTAGAACACTGATTTTGTAACCTCTTAGGACCTACACAGACATTATGAGATTTGCAAATTAAATATTATAAACAGACACTAGTCGATCAGTTTTGAAGCAAACTTCATTGTTTAAAGATTGTCATTTTTTGTAGGATACATTTTTTTTAATGGGATATTTCCTAACTGCTTTTATATCCCTTTAATAGTATAGTATATAGCAAGGACTGAAGTAGCATGTATAATCTTTTTAATCATGAAAGTCAATTTCCTTGACCAGTCCATCTCTGCTAGAAGCGACATTTGCAGAAGTAAAGTTTTATTATATGAAAAGCTTCAGGTTATATGAACAAATAATTACTAATATTCATTTAAATTGCATTAGTGAAAATACCTCTAAAATATAAAGAGGTTTTAATTTAAATAATAATTTAGAAGAGTTTACTTTAGATTATTTGTAATTAAATAAATATTATATTGGTATAGTACACCACTTCGCTATCTTTTATTTTCCATCTAGGTGAAAAACCATACATATGTGGTATTTGTGGGAAAAGTTTTATTTCCTCAGGAGAGCTCAACAAACACTTTCGATCTCATACAGGTCTGTGTTTAGGGAGAATGTGTTATTTTTTATTCTCTCTAATTTCTTATTATATAAGCCTTAACTTTTAAACCATTAAGGACTATGTGGTATCTAGTCATGCTCTATTGGTTACTATATTTTAAGGTATAAATATCAACTTTTTATTTGCTTATTTCATTTTTTTAGTTGTTTGGAGTCAAGAATTGTATAGATTTTCTGAGGAATGTGCTAGATAATCAGTAGTTTTTAATGACTTGGATTAAATTGGACAGATATACCAAGAAGTGAAAAGGGAGTAGATAATACAATGGTAACATCAGATTTTCTTATTAAACAGTGTTTAGTACACAAGTTTTAAGAGTAAATTTTAGTATTGACATGTTTATTGCAAAAAGTAGTCTGTAAGTAGTATAAAGAAGATACTGAATATAAAAATATTTGGAAAATGACACTCTAACAATGTACTATTTTTACTTTTTCTTTTTAAAAAGTATTCCTCATTCATATCTAGAATACTTTAAGCACCTAGTAGAGTTTTTAATAAGTAAATTTATTGACAGTGTCTATATGCTAATACTCCTTGCTTCACAGTATAAAGCATTAAACAGTTCATAATTTGAAAAGAATTATAATTTTGTAGCATCTTATTCTGTCAGTACTTTTTAAGGATTTCCTGACATGAGCTACAAGAACAGGTTATTTACGTATAAATAAAATTTATTTATTTATTTTGTCTTAGTTGTATCTCTCTCTAGGATCTGGCATATAATTGGCGTTCATTAAATGTTTGATAGAAATATAAGTTACTTTTTTAGTTTGCAAATAAATTTTTGTTTATGAAAATGTTTATACTTTTCCTTTAAACGAGAATATTTTATAAAGGAGTATCTATGTATATATAATTTTTCATTTTACTATATTAGAACCAAATGGTTAAAATTATAATTTTAAAGCAAATTAAGCAGTACAGTGATTTTTGCTTTGTGTTCATAAACATTGGTATTTTTGTCTTATATAGCTTCTAAAATATTGTGATTTTAAACTTTTTAACTTGTTTTCAGGAGAGAGACCATTTATCTGTGAATTATGTGGCAATTCTTACACAGATATTAAAAATTTAAAGAAGCACAAAACAAAAGTCCATTCTGGTAAATATTTCTTAAAACTTTGGTGTTCTCATGTTTAAAGAGTGGGCTATTTCTTAAATTGTTAATGTTATGATATAAGTTGTAATAGTTCAAACAAGGCAATCTGTTTTTAAAATTGATGTATACAAATAAGTAAAATAGTTTTATAATTTGCAAAAAAGTTCACTCTATATTTGTTTTCATATTGAGCTCTTAATAAGCCATACTTAAAATATTTCCTCCTCAAAAAATTTGATTTATAATCAATTTCAGGATGAACAAATATACAGTGAGCATTTTTAAGGTGGTGGAAAATTGAAGACAAAAAGAGATAAAATGTGTATGAACTGCTGAATGTAAAATGAATCTGCTTTGTAGAATTTCATCCATATCACACTCACTCACTCACTGCTGTGGAGTCTGATCCGACTCATAGCAACCCCTCCTTGGGTTTCCGAAGCACTATTACTACAGAATATATATCACTGTTCCCCATACTTAGAGCCTGAGTAACTCTGGGTTTACTATAGCTGTTGTGAAGAGAGGTTCATCATGAACACTAGCCCAGAAATGTATAAGAGGAAATGGGGAAACAGGTAATCCAAAATTGTTAAGATATATATAAATGAAAAGCCAGACTATTGCTTAAAATGAATGCTTGAAAATGTTACACTGTGCTTACTATTTTATTTTGCCATGATTAGAAATAGAACAAAAAACTAATCCCAAAAACCAAACCCACTGCCTTCAAGTTGATTTCAACTCATAGCAGCCTCCGTAAGGTTTCCAAGGCTGTAAATCTTTATGGAAGCAGACTGCCTCATCTTTTTCCCATGGAGTGGCTGGTAGATTTGAACTACTGACCTTTCGGTTAGAGCTCCAGTGCTTTAACCACAGTGCCACCAGAGCTCTGTAGACTCCTTTAATGTGTAAAGCGCTACTCGTAAGGATTAAGCTGGAAACACCTGAAAATGTTTATTACATGAGTATAAAGTACACATACTACAGGGAATATGAATTTGAATGAGGCAAAGACCTGGCCCTTAAAAAGCTTACAACCTGATGTTGTTGTTGTTATGTGCTGTCGAGTCAGACCCGACTCATAACGACCCCTCCTTGGGTTTCTGAGGCAGTATCACTACGGAAGTAGATTGCCCCATCTTCCTTCCAAGGAGTGGCTGGTTGGTTTGAACTACCAGCCTTCTGATTAGCAATCAAGTACCAGAGCTCCCACAACCTGATGTAGGAGACCAGAAATAATAAATAAATATAATTACAAGGCAAAATGAATAATATAATAAGAGGCATAAAAATGCTGATGAAGAGAAAGATTAATTCCTTCAGAGCTGAGTATTGGAAAAGATGAAAATATAGAGGGACTGTGAAGGATGGTTCAAAGGTTGACAATGGGGGAAAAAAAAATACGAAAACCAAACCCACTGCTGTCAAGTCAATTCCAACTGATAGTGACCCCTATTGGGCTACTAAGGTGATAAATCTTTACAGAAATAGATTGTCCCATCTTCCTTCCGCAAGTGACTGGTAGGTTTGAACCACCAACCTTCTGGTTAGCAGTCACATACTTTAGGTACTGCACCAGCAGAGCTCCTTGACAATGGGGAAAGGTTGGTACATGCTAGGCAGAAAGAACCTTGTGAAGACAGTCACTGGGACAAGAAAGTACAGGTTGTATTTTTGGCTGGTCAAACTGTAAGATAGTTCAGCAACAATACACGGAATTACACCTGCAATTTTGTGTGACCAGGATGCTGTGTGCTTTTGATTCCAACTCATAGTGACTGTATAGTACAGAGTAGAGCTGCCCGATAGGGTTTCTTAGGCTTGGCTGCTAACCCAAGCAGTTAACCAGTGTGCAACCAGAGCTCCTTCTAACTAGAATAGTGGGAATGAAATCTTGTTAACACTTTGGAGTGACAGAAGCATTTTTAAGCTGGTGGAAAATTTGAAGACAAAAAGGGATAAAATGTGTATGAACTGTTGAATGTAAAATGAATCTGCTTTGTAGAATTTCATCCAAATCACAATCTCTCACTCACTCACTCACTGCCGTGGAATCGGATTGGACTCACAGCGAACCCTCCTTGGGTTTCCGAGGTGGTATCACTATGGAACTGATACAGTCTTCCTTCCAGGGAGTGGCTGGTGGGTTTGAACTGTCAGCCTAGTAGTTAGCAGTCAAATGCCTTAGGCACTGTGCCACCAGAGCTCTCTCCAAATCACAATAAGAAGTTAAATTTCTTATTTCAGTACTGTAAAAATAACTTGCTTGAGTAGAGCTGAATTTTTCTGAAAATATATGAAACTACCCTACATCTGAACTTGAACTCACAAAGACATATTAACTACTCAGTACATTCAGGGAACAGAGTACTTATTATGTAGTTAGGTCTCTTAAGCACTTTGAAGGAGTTGGATGATTATAACTTGACATTTACCCTCTGGGACTTTAAAGTCTAATTGAATATTTCACCTGAATGAAATGTTGATAGCAGTAAAAGAGATGTCACAAGCAGGTATATGAAAAATTAACAAATGAACGAGTAGGTAGCTCACCCTGTTCTAGAATGATTAAGGTCTAGGCTTGAGGGTCAGATTATATTTGTATAGATAATGAGGAAGGCAGATCATCAGAAGAGAAACATGAGGGAAAAATAGGTTGGAATGAGAATTCTGGTAATAGTAAGTAGATGTGTCTACTGCTGGTGGGGGGAGAGTTTTGTATTGTTTTTTAAGACATGTTAAGAAAACTAAAAGTAAATAGGTAAAATTACTTTTAATATGTTTTGTGTAAAACTTTTTCCCCTTTCCAATTCAGGTGCAGACAAAACTCTAGATTCCAGTGTAGAGGATCATACTTTGAGTGAACAAGATTCCATACAGAAAAGCCCTTTTTCAGAAACTATGGATGTGAAGCCTTCTGATATGACTTTACCACTAGCTCTTCCACTTGGGGCTGAGGACCACCACATGCTTCTGCCTGTCACAGATAATCAGTCTCCTACATCAGATACATTATTGAGGTCAGCTGTGAATGGTTATTCAGAACCACAGTTGATTTTTTTACAACAGTTATATTGATGTGAGGATTATGGAAATGCTAAGACATCTCTGATAGTAAATATAAAGGTCTCTGATAAGGTGAATATATTCATATTGAATTACCATTGAGTTGTGCCATTATTTTTCATTCATTGAAGTAAAAGCACCTGATGTTACATCATGACTGTGCAATGTTTGTTTTGGTTTTTGGTTTTTAAGTCTAGACTATACACACAGCTTTTTTAAGAATGAATTATACTGTGGTAGCACTGTTTTGGATGGATAAGTTTTGTTTTAAAGCTGCCTTAATTCCATTTTTATTTTGCATTTTAGAATTGCTCTTCCATCCGTTAAAGTGATCCGTTAGTTTATGATTCATTTTTTTTAAAAGTGGTAAAAATATGTATAATAAAACATTTGTCATTGCAACATTTTTTTATATATACAATTCAGTGACATTGATTACATTTATCGTGCTATGCAGCCATCACCAGTATCTGTTTCCAGATTTTTTAAATCGCCCTTAACAGAAACTTTCCCCAAAACCACTGCTATCTAGTTGATTCACACTCACAGTTACCCCTGTTGGGTTTCTAAGGAGATTAAATCTTTATGGAAGTAGATTGCCTCATCTTTTTCCATGGAATGGCTTTTGGGTTTCAGCCAAACTTCTGGTCAACAGTCAGATGTCATGAGCAGTGTGCCAGCGGAGCTCCTTTAACAGAAACTCAATGCCCATTATTCAGCTTTGACCTTCGGGAGTTTTGTTATTTTCTTCCCCTCAAAATTTAAGTAAAATCCATGATAATATCAGCCCAAGAGTGTGCTGTTTATAAGCCCCATAGACCAATACATAAATTATGTATTGGGGGGGTAAAATTTCTTATTTCTGCTTAAGAAAACTTGAGTACTAAAAAGAATCGTGCTCTTTTCTCTATTAATCTGTTTCATTGCAGGTGTGACTAATGAAATGAATATTTCTCTTAAAAGCTAGAAAATTATATAAATTTCTATTCATTAAAACTTCAGTATTTTGGAGAAAACCAATGATAATACTTTTAGTTTGAATTATTTGAGGCTTGTTTTAAAAATGAATTTTAAATAGATAGTTGGTGTTATTATCATGTCACAGTTTTAAAATATGATTCAGTTTCTGTTTTAATAGGTTTCTAAATTGCTGAAGATCAGGAAAATATACTGGGTTTTGGAAATTTTTGATAAGCATCTCTTATGTCTATTATGCACTTTTAAAAAGAAATTCTAAAAAATTTTCTAAATATAAACTTAATGCATACTATAAATCACTTGGTTTTTTAATTTGATACATTATATTATGTAAAGAGTAAGAAGCAAGCTTCAATTATAAGTTAAACACTTTGGGCTATCAGAAGGCCAATTTATTTTGTATGTGAGTTTTCTATAAGCTTTGAATTTTAAAATTTTATAAATTAAACCACCTTGACTGTTGTTGTAGTTTCATAGTGGTCCTTTTCCTTCCTATTTAATGTGGAAAATTTTGTATTATCCTGGTATTTACTACCACTCTTTCCCATTCCACTTTTCCCATGCATTGATTTATTTCATTATCTAATTAAATTAATTACCATTAAATTACCAGTTCCACAGTCAGTTTCGTACTGCAGATCAAATACCATGGCCACATTATTTTTGCCATGCATTAGTTGTATCTTACTTTCTGGTTTATTACATCTGTATAAAGTTTTAACATATTTTCTATTGGTATTAATTTCTTTAATTGTAATTTTCTGTTTGGGATCCAAGTCATAGGAAACAGAGGACATAATAAAACCACTTGATTCTTGTAAACTGTAGAAATCTTTACCATTTCACAGTACATTCATCATTTTCACAATAAATTGCCACCAGTGGGATTAACTGAATGAGTTTGAAGTACTGACTTTGTATAATACACATCAAACTTAGTATTTAATCATTTATCTAAGAAATTGAATTATGCATATTTATTAATCCAGTATACTGGGTTTAATAACATTTGTAAAGTTATAAAATGCTCGACTAATCTATTCTGGCCTAAATTAGTAGACATTTATTGAAATGTGAAGAAATTAAAGAAAATTAAAAGACTACCACTTTAAGAAGTATACCGAAATGGAGAGTCTGTGTTTGATTCTCATCATCATTAATCAAAGCATCTAATGAGCAAAAGTTCTTCTTAAAAACCGCTGCAGTAGTGTCATAATTCTTTGAGGATGATAGTCACCAAATTTGCTCTAATGTACTGGTAATTAGCATTTTCCTTTTTATAGGATCGTCTTCAAATTTGTCATTATTATTACTTGATGTGATTGGAGTGGCTAAGGCTGGTTTACTATTCTTTTCTTCATCACATTATCTGCTTCTTAACTAAAATAATTTTATTTTAAATTGACATGGTTTGAGTCATCGTCAGTATCATTTGCTATTCCAGAATGACATGTAAAAAAGATTTGAAAGCTGAGTATCCCTTGCCATTCTTCTCCTAATGCTTTGTTCTTTACCATAACATGCATGCATTTTAGTTGTACTTGGTATTATTCTAAGGAGCCCTGGTGGCATAGTATAGTTAAAGCACTTGGCTGCTAACCAGAAGGTCAGCAGTTCAAATCTGCCAGCTGCTCCACAGGAGAAAAGCCTTGGCAATTTGCTCCCATAAAGATTGCAGCCTAGGAAACCCTATTGGGTGGTTCTACTCTGACTGGTAGGAGCTCTGGTAGCATAGTGGCTAAAGCACTTGACTGCTAACCAGAAGGCTGGCGATTCAAACCCACCAGCCACTCCTCGGAAGGAAGGTTGGGCAATCCTACTTCCGTAGTGATACTGCCTCGGAAACCCA